ATCAAGTGGCATCCAAGGTTTTAGCAAAACGCTTTGATTTTGTCCTTCAGTTTACTCTCTCTCTCTCTCTCTCTCCATCAAACGCATTATGAGGAGCTGCCACAATGTTACAGAAGCTAGTGCACAATTTTTACTACTCACGTTGATATTTTCAATGAATTTGAGACTGCACAGCCTTAATTCTAAAGCTATAAAACCTTTCGGGAATTAAACAGAACACTTTTTGAAACGTTTTCCGTTCTCAGGGTGTAGGCCATCATGGTGGCAATAATCTTTTTAGATCCAGTTTATATATACCACTTTTCCTGCCAGTATATATTTGTGGTGCATCTAGTTTATGTCTATTTGTATTTATGACTGTTACTTTTACTGCATTTATTCTGAGTTTTATGTCAGCTGGTCTGGGAGGCACCAACCTGAACAGGGTATAAATCCCTTATATTAAAAAAATAAAATAAATAAAAAATGCAAAATATTTTTCTAAAGAGGATTGGGAGGCATGTTGCAGAATTGTTCCTTGTATTCCCAGAGCACTAGCAAAATTTCCATGCTCCACAACTACAGATAATTATGTAGGCATTACTAAAGCAATGTTCTAACTCTAATGATACAACAACAGCATATATATGGTATTTCAAATCTGTAGTAATGCAATTGTTTATACAGTATACTTGTATTTATTTCTACTTAGAGGTCAGTCACGCTGTAAAGAGGGATAAGATCATAGCCCAAGAGAGCTATTTAAATATTAAGTGGCATAAATTGTTTGATTGTCAAATGAAAGGTTTGTGTCACAGACCTCTCTAAGAACTCCTTCCAAATCAACAGACTGAGATGAACATATATTTTAAACCCCCCCTTTTCTACCCAACTGCCAACCAAGGGGATAGAAGGCTCTTGAAGATTTTGTGCAAAGGTTACAAGGAGGAGGTGTTTTTGCTATGATGTTGTTCATGTGGGCGAAGGAAGAGAAGGAAAACTCTTGGCGTAGGCTGCAAGGGTGGGATGAATATGCATTAATCAGTCGTTTGATTTCCAAGGCCATCATGGTGGCAACAGCAACTAGGAACAAAATCTACGTGCCTAAAGAGATGCTGCGAGAAATGCTCAGCAATCAACATTTTGCAATCAATCTCCAGGCAAGATGCACAGAAAGAAAACAGAAAGGACCCAAAAGGGGCTCATTTAAAGGCACACACCCTGCACACCTAAGCTGCCTGATCTGAAACGAAAAACCAGCCCTCACTGCCTTTTAGCTGCAACACATTTCCAGATTTTGGGGTTTCTTTTTCACCATACTTCATTCATGTTTCCTTCAGTTTGTCTGCAATATGAATGTAGCAGAAGTGGGAGATGGAGGGAGGAGGAGGAGGGAAGGAAACTGAAAACTGTTTTACATTTTACATGTTTGCACAGCTGTCAGTTGACTCACTTAATCCTCCACTTCCATTTTCATTTGGCCAAGTTCTCTTCCCTTCCACCGCTTAAGTACTTTGCACACAAGCGTAGTGAAAATCGAGTTCGAAGTGGAACCAACGCAAGCAAGCAAGATCTAACAGCAGGATCTCAAGAAAAGCAAATCTCCAGATAATTTAAGGGGACAGAAGGCTCTCAGTGTAGAGTATCTGTGTGTGAAGATTTCAGGGACTTCCTTGTACTGTATTTCAGGTATCCGTAATTGCTTCCAGCTTGTATCCCAAAAGAGAGAGGAGTGCAGGAAAGCCAATTTAGCCCAGGAGCAAAAAACAAAACAAAAACCCCACCACCTTATATGACCTGGGCACAAATCATGCTTTCGCTGGAACAAAGGGCATCTCTCTCCCCCCCTCCCCCCCAAAAGTGTTCCTTCCAACTATTCTGAGCAAACTGGGATCTCCACGTTAAATATTTAAAGTAACAAAAGTAACAAAAGTAAGATTTGCATGGCTAAAGCATTTGTTCCATTTTCCACTGATCATCATTCAGAGACTGCATTCAGAAACTGCGCGCCATGGTACAGAAACGGCATTGGTCGCCCTGTGCGATGACCTGTTGAGGGAGGCTGACAGGGGAAAAGTGTCCCTGCTGGTCCTCCTCGATATCTCAGCGGCCTTTGATACCATTGACCACGGTATCCTCCTGGGGAGGCTCGCCGAGTTGGGAATTGGTGGCCTGGCATTGGCCTGGCTCCGTTCCTTCTTGGAGGACCGCCCCCAGAGAGTACAGCTTGGGGAGAGGGTCTCGGCCCCGTGGAGCCTCAACTGTGGGGTTCCACAGGGGTCGATTATCTCCCCAATGCTGTTTAACATCTATATGAGGTCGCTGGGTGGGGTCATCAGGGGATGTGGAGCTCGGTGTCATCAGTATGCTGATGATACTCAGCTGTACACCTCCTTTCCACCTACCACAGGAGATGCCATTCTGTCCCTCCAGCGCTGCCTGGGGACCGTACTGCAATGGATGCAGGAGAACAGGTTGAGGCTGAACCCAGACAAGACGGAGGTACTGAGGGTGGGCGCCCCCACAGTCGGGGGTTTGGGAAACTCCCTCACTTTTGGGGGGGTGACCCTCCCCGCCAAGGATGGGGTCCGCAGCCTGGGGATCCATCTGGACCCGGCGCTCACCATGGAATCTCAGGTGGCGTCGGTTGTCCGAACCGCCTTTTACCATCTTAGGTGGATAGCCCAGCTGCGGCCCTATCTCGAGGTGGGGGCGCTGACTACATTGGTGCATGAGCTCGTAATCTCAAGAGTAGACCAGTGTAATGCGCTCTAGGTGGGGCTGCCTTTGAGGTTGTTGCGGAAACTACAGGTGGTGTAGAATGCGGCGGCCAGACTTCTTAGTGGTGTGAAAAAATACTAACACATTTCGCCCACTCTGGCCGCATAGCATTGGCTGCCCATCAGTTTCCGCATCGACTTCAAAGTGTTGACGCTTACTTATAAAGCCCTAACCGGCTTAGGGCCTCGTCACTTGCCGGAACGCCTGCTTCCACCAAGTTCTACCCGTGTCACTCGCGTGAGTCAGGAAGTGAGGCTGAGGAGCCTAATGCCGAGGGAGGCCCGGAAAGAAAAGACAAGAAATAGGGCCTTCTCGGCGGTGGCTCCTCGCCTCTGGAATAACCTTCCCCCTGACATTCGCAAGGCTCCCTCACTGGGCACTTTCAAAAAACAGCTAAAAACATTGATGTATCGGCAGGCCTTCCCCTTTGTCAGTTCCTGATTCCCCTTTCCTTCTACTCCCTAGCTCTGTCCCAACCTGTTGCAACTTTTCTTCTGTAAAATTGTTTTTAACTATATTGTTGTTGTTTTACTGTTGTAAGCCACCTAGAGTAATCTCAATTGATTAGATAGGCGGGATAGAAATAAAATAAATAAAAATAAATAAAAAATAAAATTTTGAAAAGGTTCTCCAGGACAGAAAACTGCATGCAGATCGTGGTTTATTAATTGTAAATACTTTTAAGTACTATACTTGATAGGCACTTAAACATCTGAACCTACTGATGGATTCTTGATGCTACCCTGGTTCGCTCAGGTATCAGTCCTTGCTACCTTCAACAGAAAGGGTGGTCCAACTAAATTGTGAATATGGGTCCTTTGAAGCACGAAACATTAAAACTCACTGAGCCCTTGTAAAGGTAGGGACATGGTTAAAACAAAGCACTATTTGATTCACTCATTAAAAAACACTTTTAGTTTGCCCCCAAATCGCTGTCTATTTAGCCCTGTACTTTTTCTTCCTTCCGACAAGCAAAGTACATAGCAGACAGATATGGGCTTCGTTCAAATTATGCAGTCGATTCTGGGGCAAAGTGACATTTAAGATCTACTGATGACTTACTAGATATGTCCCATCTTTAATTCATCATATTCTGTTATGACAATCTAGCAACTTTTAAATGTTCTATTTTGGTACCGGAATATAGGTAATAACGTTTCTCAACATTTTTTCAGGCCTGCTGAATGATCAGTTGTGCTACAAAGAGAATGTGTCTCTCACCAGCCTCCACAAATATTAGAGCTTAAAGGTTGTAATGAACACAAGCCCTCTATTAAAAGTCTGTCTTGCTCTCACAAAGCACTGTGAAATAAATAGGATAATCTGCACATTCAAAATCCTATAATGTGCCCATAGTTTCTTTAATTTGAAAGGCTATGTGTTCCTGGGGAGAGGGAAATATATATATATATTAATGAGAGAGATAAGTTGGCTCCAGTCTTCCATCAGGGTGTGTCTGTGCAAAAATGCATGGGGCACTGCCAACACAGATAAAGCCAACAGACATTTGTAGGTTCAGTAATCAATATCCAAACGAAGCAAAACTCTTTATGATCAATTTAAATTAGGTTAGGGTAGATTCATAACAAATTCCTAAAAGTGGCACAGAATATTTTTAAAAATGGGACGGCCATAAATAGCCATGTTAATCTTCTCCAATAATCAAAATAGCAATATTTCGACTACAAAACCTGTCGGGTAAGGGGCTGCAGAGCAGGGACGGAGGCGACAGCCTTGGGCTTGCACTGCCCCCCTCCCTCCAAAGTTGCAGCGAATACAATACACGGATGTTTCAGGACTTTCCTCCCACGCCTCACCCTTTTTTGCACTGGATTTCTCTGGGAATCATCCACACGCCACCCACACATACACACACACACACACACACACACGAACCCGCCCTCGCCTTCCGGCAATCTCCGGCAGCCTGAGCGCACGGCGGCAGCAGCACCGCCGCCGCCGCCCCTGAGAACACCCGGCGGGGCAGGCATGGCTGGGGCGCCGCTTAGGACCGACTCCCGGCCCCCTTCCCCAGCCCCCGAGAAGGACGGGGCCACTCGACACGGAGCCCCAGCCGCCGTTCCTCCCTTCCCTTTAAATCCCACCCCCTCCTGCCCTTCCCATCCCTCGTGGAACGTCGGAACGCTCCTCTGGAGGGAAAACGAATCCCCTGCCCCAACCCCGCCCCGCGTTCCAACACACGTATTCCGCGCCGCCGGACGGGTCTTGCCCCACCGTACCTGCCCTCGTGTTTCCACTTCAGACGTGCACTCTCAGAAACACGAGGCTGCGGCTCCTCGAGTTAAAAAAGGGACCCAGGCGGGCAAGTTCGCACCCGCTCGGAGGGACTCGGCCGGGCGGCCCCGCTGTCCGTTGTCGAGGGTCGTTCCGAGCAGGGTTCGGCAAGGGGGTGTGTGACTCGGGTTCGGGGCATTCCGGCGACCGTCTTGCCCCTCGCGATGTGGCCAGGACAGGACCTCGCAGGGAATTCGACGGTGCTTTCTTCCCATGCAGACCTGCACGGGATTGTCCGGCTCCTCCTGGACACGTGTACCACGGGCGGGCGAGGGCGGTGGGGAGGGGAGAGGAGAGGAGGCAGCAGCGCCTTCCTTGGCGGGGAGGGGGTGCGAGGGAGGCACGACTGACTAGGGAGGGGCGCCTTCGCCTCAAAACACAGCCAGGAGGCGGGCCGCCCCGCCCCCGCCCCGGGGCTCAGGGCATCGCTCGACC